AGTGACACTGCCCTCCACAGCTAAGATGCTGAACAACAGCTCAACCTGGAGCTGGGCTGCCATGAGTCGCCGGCGACGGCGTGGGCTGTAGCCCCTGTGGCGGTGGGTTGCCATGGGCTACCGTGTGTAGCCAGCAGCCAGCGTGAGTGGCCAGCAGCCACAGTGAGCGGCCATCCAGAAGCCGGCGACTGATCTGCCTCACCCAGGAAGAGCGCAATGATGGTGCCAACTTGGGCCAATGAAACAGCCACGGCTAGACTGAGGAACAAAACGACAGCAACTTGTCTGTTCCCCTTCCCCCAATTCCCTAGCGCTGTTCCCATCCCCCAATTCTCCAATAAAAAATCTTTTAAAAAAAAAAGAAGCCTATTTTACCATAGGCTAATTGATACAAACAAGAGTTAAGTTCTTATAGCATCTCATCAATGTTACAACAAAATATTATTTGAGGACCTGCTGTATTTAGTCTTTTCAACTACCTTTTTCCCTCCATCACAGTCCTTTTCCATAAATAGCCCAGAGAGTCCCCACGTCCTCTGAGCTAACACTTTCCTCACCCTTTCTCCTTATTTAAGGCATTTTCTGCTGCTGGCAGCTGATTCGTATTGACAAGAGCACCTCCATGTTTTCTGTTGTTCTTTGTAGCCCCAGGACTAGGGTCCCAAGGTTGTCCTTTAGGCAATTGCTACCCAGAAAGCACTTAGAATCTTTCAGAAGTCAGACCCAAAGAAAAGTGAGGGCAGAACTAGGTAGGCGAAAGTTCACTCACTATTTGTGCCAGTACAAACCTATGTTAGTACTGCAACTGCAGTGTGTATGGCTTGGTGGGTCAGGTTTGGGTTCCTGCATCAAACCGGTATAGATGTAACAAAAGCAAAAAGGAAGAAAAGAACAACAAAACTAGTAGAATAAGACTTGAAGGGATAGCTTCCGAGGGTGAAGGTAGTCAGCAAGTTTTTGTCCTCATGGAAACATAGCAGACAATGACCATTTTCAGTGTTATGGGGATCACTGATTAAGTAACAGTTACTCAGGTTAATAGCCTCAAGTCGTTAAGAAGACAGGTTGGACAGCATTCTCTTTGGAGAGTCTTAGTTGAAAGATTAGAAACATATCCTGGAGATTGGAAGCAACCTAAATGTTCATATAGAAAATGGTTAAATTAATTGTGAAGCGGGCCGGCCGAGTGGTGCGATGGTTAAGAACTCGCTTGGGATGCCAGAGGGCCCCGGTTCGGATCCCACATATGAGGGCTAGTGACACTGCCCTCTACAGCTAAGATGCTGAACAACAGCTCAACCTGGAGCTGGGCTGCCGTGAGTTGCTGGCGACTGCATAGGCTGCAGTCCCTGTGGCAGTGGGTTGCCATGGGCTACCGTGTGTAGCCAGCAGCCAGCGTGAGCAGCCAGCAGCCGCAGTGAGCGGCCGTCCAGAAGCCGGCGACTGATCTGCCTCACCAGGGAAGAGCGCAATGATGGTGCCAACTTGGGCCAGTGAAGCAACGTCCTCCACAACTAGATTGAAGAACAAAACGACAGCAACTTGTCTGTTCCCCTTCCCCTAATTCCCCAGCACTGTTCCCATCCCCCCAATTACCCAATAAAAATCTTAAAAAAAAAAAATTTAATTGTGAAGCATATCATGCGGCATTTAAAAGGAAAGAGGTAGACCCATAGGTAGTGACCTAGAGGGATATCCATATTGTTAAGTGAAAAAAAGCTACATACACATTATATACAATATTTATTATATGTGTTATGAAAGTCAAGAAAAACATCTGGAAGGAAATACTAAACTATTTCTGGGGAGTAGGACTGCAGGAAGAGGCATTCTGGGGAATAAGTATAAAATTGCCCTTTGCTTTTAAATACTTGTATAGCAGTTAGGCATTTTTTAAAAAGCAATAAGTATGGTTTACTCTTTAAATTAAATGTATACAGTAAAGATTTTAATAATTGCAAAAGCACCCTAGGTTCTGAATTTTTCAACCAAACAATTTAATTTTGATTAACTGAATATTTCGCTTTCGGTGCACGCTTCCCTCTCACTTTCTCATGCTGAGGCTTTGGAACACAGCAAGGCAACCCAAGAAATAAAGCTCATCCTCCCCAAAGCTTAGACTGAGCTGTCATATATTGAGGATGAATTCAATTTCCTGGGTACTCTAAGGCTAATAGGGAAAGCAAGGGGAAAATGTGGAAAATGAAAACTGGAGAAGGGGAAGAAAAAGAGAAAAAAAGAAATGGAGAAAAGGGGGAGAATAAGAGATGGCAGCTAAAGGGTAAAAGACAAGGGGGAGAACAGGGGGAGACAAGGGAGAGAGAGAATGTAAAAAGAAAAATCGAACTCCTATAAACATGAAGGCGTGATTGAACACGTGTTAAACACACAAAGCAGAACATACACAAGGTTGTTAACAGAAGTTATACGGGAGAGGTGGGATAGGGAAATGCTAACTTTATTGTTTACTTTTATTGTTATAGTATTTGTTACAACATCAGATAATGAAACATTTTAAAATAAAATAAATTGAAGATAAATAATTGTGAAGACGAAAACAAGAATTATTCAGCAGACCTGCCTTTGACTAAAACTCAGGCATGTCACAGCCTAAAATCTTTACCCTTCACCTAGATGCATAGTATAATAAATACGATATTTGTTATCAGAGGGACTTATGTAATGTGGGCCAACAAAAGCTTTAAGATAGAAACTTAATAGAAAGGTGTGAAATTCCAGAAGTTATCAGATTTATATACCACCAGCATCTTGGATGACAATGTCTAGAAATCAATGAGGACTGCACTGGCTGATAGCAGCTATCAGCAGTTCTGGTTGCTGCTCCTGTATGTATGTGATCCCCACTTGTTATTCCTGTGTCACCAATGACATTATATTCTCTTCTCATCTGGACACAGGAATTAATTTCTATGCCTGGAATAACCTGACAGTATAATGTCAGGAGAGTCCAGTTTTGGACATGATTTAGCTAATGCCACCAAACTTTCATTTCCACTTATATTTTAGTTGACAGAATATCATTCAGGAAGTTTCAGAATAGCTTAAGAAAATTCTCCCATTGAACTTCCCCCGCCTCCTCTTCCTTTCTCTCTCCTTGACCAATTTCAATTCAAATACCAGCTACTGGGCACCTAAGTGCCAGGCTTTGGGGATATCAACATGAACCTAGCTCTGACTTCAAGAAGCTCACAGTTTAACTCAGAAAGTCATATATCTAAAGAAATTATATCAATACCATGTGATAAGGATAACAGAGTGTGGTGGTAAAGAGCATGGACTGGATTCAAGAGCTTGCTACCTGTGTGGAATGCCTATTGATCTCACTAGGCCTTGGCTTTTCCTCTGTAAAATAAGAATAATTTCACCTCCCATAGGTTTTTGCAAAGATTATATGATCATTGATTGTGTGTGTCTGGAGGGCAGGAGTAATAGTGAGACATTAACTGTTCCTATTCCCTCCATTGAATTTCCTCCTAGTCGTGTTTTGCTTCCTAGTCGGTGCCATTCATTGACCAAGAAAGGGATGACTCAGCAGAACTCATATAACAAAGGAATCCAGGCTTAAGACTTAAGATTGGAAGAAAATTCAATTCGTCAGAGCCAGTTTTTGTCCCCACTAGACATTTCATCTTTCTAGCACTAACAAAGAAGGGCAAAGAGAGCCAGAAGGGAAGTGAAGGGGAGTTAGAAGCTGGAGCAACTCTGAGTCCTATGTGGGGCAAGACGGAAGTTCCAGATAGGCTTAGGGATGTGAGAACAGCAAGTATGTGGGCCCTGACCCCACACAAGAGTCCAGAGAGCTGGCTCAGTCTAGAGTTGCTGGGAAACCAGCACAGAGTAGGCGTCAAAAAAATGTCTGGGTGGGGCACCTAGGCAGGAGAGAGCCTCACGCTTTCAACCAACCCTCCCAAGCCAGAGTGGTCCAGGAGAGGCAGAATGTATCTGGGAAAGCCAAGAGGACATAGATGCCTCATGGGTCTGAGAAGGCTGCAGATACCACCATCCCAGCTTGGGTAGGAACCAATACCAGCATGGGGAGATGGTGACATGGAGATAAAAAATGCAACTTTACAAGAAATCGTGCTGATGGCATGTGGAGGGTGGATTGAATGGGAAGTGCTGGGCTCATTGATTTTGCCCATAATGCCTAAAGCGGAATCCCACTCCTGTGGGGCCAACGTTGCATTACAGTTTCTGGGAGCAGAATACTTAGATACTTAGATCCTGGCCACAGCACCTACTACATGACCTTGGGCTGGTCATGAACCTGCTCCATCGGCTCCCCTCATCTGCAAAATGAGAGCTAAAAATTGAACCTGAGTCATAGGGTTGCTGGAATTTGAGATGTTATACTTCTTGTGAAGCACTTAGAATGGTGCCTGGCATGAAATAAGTGCTTACTGAATTTTAGCCCTTATTAATTAGGGTGCACTTAAAATCACGATTCACTTTGTATGGGGAGAATGATGATTATGTCAGAGAATTATGATAAAGTCTGCAACTCATGGTATTCATTTAAATTTTGGTCACTGAGCAACATGTCAGGGAAGAAAATCCACTTTGTAAATTCAGTTCTAAAAGGTACAGGGCAAGCTGCAATTCAAACAACTAAATTTCACCAGCTTAAAAGTGATTGTAGTTGTTTGTGATGGAGGAGGTGCTTTTTTCTTTTCAACCCTGAAGCTCAGAACAGGGTTGGTGTGAACTACTAATAGCTGCCACCCCTCATGAGCCGCAGCACCCTTCTGGAAGAAGGTGAGGTGCATTTGGTATGTGAAGGGCACTGGACTCTTGAAAAAAGACATGTGATCTAGGTGACAATGAGTACTGATGGCCAGAATTCTGGAAGGTAAAACTCCACAAGTGACAGGTCCTTAACAGCATGGGTTCAGCTAGAGTGCATTGAAATACTGGTATGTCCTTGTCACTGGGGAGAATGTGAACAGGGGAATTGGGGAGACCATGTGGGCAAGGGCAGACAGGGCTGAGCCAGCCAGCATTCTCAACTTAACCTGTGCCTGATCCGAAGCATGGACGTTATTTTCTGTCAAGGGAAGTGAGTATTTTAATTGATTGGTGTCCACAAAGCGTAAGAACTGAGAGAATTGAAATCTGATCTGGGACATAGTAATCCGATATATTCTGATGGAATCTATAAATGCTTTTCTCTCTTTCTAGAAGAATATTCATATTTCTGAAGATACAGATAAGGATAAAGAAGAATTTGCGGGTAGATGTGAGGAAGGGGAAACCTAGATGGAATTCAGTGATTTGCAACTTGTGTTTTAACAAAAACTACTTCCCTGAAAGTCTGCATGATAATTGGGTAGGAAGAGAGAGCCATTGATAAAGTGCAGGAGATAAGATATAAAAAGGGAGAAAGACTGGACAGATTAGACCTGGGATGGAAAACATCTCTATGTCCGGAGGGCAGTAGGTGGAGGGTTTTTAAATCAAGGTGAGGTATCTGAATCTAATCACCTGTGATACATAGCGAGAGAGCAGAACTGGAAATGGAGATGGGTGATACTGTTATAAATTGGCATATGAATTGAGCAAATGATTTGGTGATAGAAATTTGTCTTAATGTCTAAAAGTATCATGTTATTACATTGCTTACAAGCCTATGACTTATTTATTGTAAAGAGCTGCTTCCTGACCAAGAGAATTCATCAAAGACACCAGCTGTAATTTCTTCATGACAATACAAAACATCAACCAAACCCAAATTACTTCTTTTTTTAATTGCTCATTGATTTGGCACTTCTGGTCTTTGCATTGTATCAGAATTTTAGGTGTTTCAAAAAGGACATCTTATTCACAACATCAAGACACCTACTAGCTAGGTTTCTTCCTAAGACTGTGTTCTATGAAGACTTGACTACATGTAAATATTTTAAATATTTAAATGTCATCAACATTGCCACACACTGCTTTAAGAACAACCTAAGGTACTACAGAAGTGTAATTTCAAGAGATAAAAACAAGGAAAGTTGCTAGGTAAAACCAATTGGTATTTTTGAAATGCAGATGTCTAACTTTGATGAATAACTGCTACTGAAGCTTAGACTACAGGGTATTTAATGTCTACATATTTTTCAAAAGAAGTTAAATCTTATTTGGTGCTGTAGGTTTAAAAAAAAATCACCTTATCATCATTTGTAGATTCATTTTTGAAAATAAATTTTCCACTATCTAGTTGGTAGCTTCATCGGTCGTGAAGTATTAACTTCGGCTCTCAAAAGAAAACCAGAAATTAAATGTAGCTCCTGTTTACTTTTTTGGCAGCCTCACTTTATTGACTTAAAGAAGCCAATTCCTCTCCCCTTATTATTTCAAAACCCACAAACAATGTGCTTTTAGAAAAGATTCTAGCCACCAGGCACCATAATAATAGTTCATATTCTAGGATCGCTTTCATTTGCCTTAAGTTACACAGTTTTATATTTTCACACGTAGAGTCAAAGCAAGGAGACATTTTTTCTTTACTTTCTGGATTATTTGCTTTAATCATAAGTTTCTCCCAGTAGGTGTTCAGTAAACTGTTCTACTCTAAGCCGGATGTCAATGTTATTCCGCATACTTTAGTGCTCTTGCCTAGAAACTAGGAGATAAGATGGGAGAGAAAATTTATTTTTAAAGTTCTTGTAATCAGCACCTTTGGGAGATGTCCAAAGTATGCTTGTATTGGCCAAAGGCAAGAAGATAACAAGGTCCTGGGCATATGCTGAAGGCTGTTCGCTGCCATTTCTGAGTAGTAGACCAGAGAGAGCTGAGCCACAGCTTATCAATAACAGGAAAAGCCACTATTTATGTTGTATTAGTCCTACCCCATGCCTTGGGCTTTATATACCTTATTTCTAATTTTTACAATAACACCTCAAGGTAGCTATTAGTAGTCCCATTTTATAGGAGAGAAAGTGAACCTCAGGTTTAATTAAATTGCCAAGGTCCAACAGTGAAGAAGGGGCAGAATGAAGAATCAAAGAAGCTTGCCCATGCCTTGTTCTTACATCACCCTGGATGACCAAGATAACACTGCTGGTTATACTGCTTTAATAAGATGACAAGGTTTCATTGTGTCCTAAAGGGCGAAGGAAAGTAGACACATCCATTCTCTGTAGGCTAAGACTTGATTGCCATTCAGAGCACCCAGAAAGAGAAAGCTACTTAAAAACGCTTTTTGCCTCATAAATCTAATGGAGGATGAGCAAAGCCCAGAACAATCTTCTTTGTCCTCAGTAAATGTAAAGTTACTATGTTTTTTTCTTTTAAAAATTGTGCCTTTTCCCAAATGAAGGGCACTCAACTTTACCTGATTCCATCCTTACTGGCTCAGTTATAAGGGACAGTTTTTTTCTAACTACCTTTAATGAGTCCGATAATTACCATTTTGCAAGCATGCCTTTGGTTTCCCTCCTTGGCACTTAATTTACATTTTTCCTCTGTCTGGGTTGAGATTTCTTCCTCAACCCCAATCTCTACTAAGGAAATTCTAGCCAATCTCCTAGGACCTGCAAAACATATTCCTTTCTTAATGAAACTTCTCTGATCTTTAACCAAAACAACTTCTCTCTCCTTTGAGTGTTCACAAATACATCTTTCAATCATCTACTATAGCTCTTATCACATGACACCTTGAATAGAGCTATTGGTCCCATTAAAACAGATATCTCCTCTCCTAGACTGAAAGTGTTTTAGGACAGGGGCTATGCCTCATTCATCTCTGATACCCATTTACAGAGCACATGTCGGTGCTGAGTTAATGTTCTTAGTTACGTAATGTTCATTATACACACCCCATCATCTCATTTCCTGAGTCCAGGTTGTTCTTTTCTCCTTTTGTTTATATAAGTCCCATCTTTCAAGACCTTTCCCCAATTGCTCCAGCAATACCCTGCCACCCCCCAAAACATTTATGAACTAAATTTTGGTGCTTATCATATACCACTTTGAAGCATTTCTTGTTTTGTTGTATGTATGCCCTGTATTCCCAATTAGAGCTACTCCTGGGCGAATGCCTATCTGGATGATGCTATTGTCATTTTTGTTATTAACGACAACTTTCATTTATTGAATCTGTGTCTCAGGCACTCTGCTGAGTGCTTCATTTACCTTATCCTATCCCGTATAGAACGTTAGGGTCCCTTGACTGATTATCAGCTTGTATCAGCCCTCAACCTTCTCTACTGTAATATACTCAGGGTTTTGAAAACTGGACAGCAAGATTCTGGAGAGCAGGGACCATGTCTTTCTTACTCATCTAGGAGCCTATAGTGTCTAGCGCAGTGCATGGTACAGAATAGATCCCCAATAAATGTTCCATCGGCGTTTTGGAACTACCAAGTACACACACACACAAAATGCTTTAAAACTTGTTTTTAGAAATACCAGTAGTAATTGCATATTACTAATTATCAAGTAAGAACCCTTCCCCTATCAGTATTGGAACTGCCAGATTAAGAATTCTGCTATTTTAAAAAATCTAGCATGAGATCCCCACTCTTCATTAAATGGTTGTGTTTTAGGCAAAATAATGAAAGACTGTGCTAGGCATCTTGATATGAGCTTCCCTCCTGCTCCCTGCCTGCACCCCACTTTGTTTATCTCTGGTCTATATTTATATTTGTGTCTGAAGGAAACACTGGTCTTCTCTTCATGTACTGGAATGAAAAGGTCTGATGGGAACTTAAACGCTCCCTCTAAGGAAACTGTCTGAGCCTGTGATTTACATCCCTGGTTTTCTTATTAACTAACTGCCAGGCTTCAGAAAACTGGAGCCAAACCAAGTGGGGACCCTGGCAGCTGGTGTGAAATGTGAGACGAGACCAATGTGTCACAGTTCCTGGAGAGTAAGGGGAACGGGGAGGCTGGGTGGGTAGGAGGAAAGGGCTTCTGGAAATTTGAAGTGAAAGGAGGATAATTCTATGTGGTTAGAGGACAACTCACCCTTGATCCCCATGTTAAGGGGAGAGTCAGAGAGGCCAGCCTGCTGAAGGTTCAAGGACAGGATTTGTTTCCTCCTTCACTTATCTTAGAATGTGTAGGAGAGAGGAAAAGATAAGTAACTAGAGAAATGTAAACAAGTGATCACTGTTAGGAAAATAGGTATCTTTTACCTTATGTAAAAAAAAAAAAAACCACTTAAAAATTTTGACTTCCAGACATATGAGGTAATGACATTATACAGAATCAGAAGAGTCCAACTTTTTAATTCTAATTTAAAAATAAGAGTAAAGGAGAAGTTGTTCAATGGGTATACAGTTTTTTTTTTGCAAGATAAGTAAATTCTGGGGATCTATTACACACTGTGCATATACTTAACACTACTGAACAGTACACGTCATAATGGTTAAGGTGATATTTTATGTTATTCTTTTTTATCACAATTAAAAAATAAATAAAATGGCTAAATACTTTCTGAAGAGAAAAATACATTACTGCTCCTTTTACTGTTATTTCATCTCGTCTTCACCCTTTTTTTCTCTTAGCAGGCTGCCTCACAGTTACACATAAATATCTTTTCTCTTTATGTGGACAAAAGAGGAAAAAAGAGATGTAAGAGTTTGTAGAAGCAGGGAACAAAACTGGGTATACCTTTTTCTTTGGAGGAATGTCTCTTTCTGAACCGTTGGCCAATAGGATATTTTTAAAATTACATATGTATAGTGGATAATGGCAAAAGATGCTTTTGAAGTCCAAATAATAGATTATATTAAGTCCATACTACTTGATTTCAAGTCAAAAATCTGATAGAGTGTCACAGAGCTAACAATTGAAGACAGTCATGCCAACAGGCAAAATAATGAACTTAAGAATCACAACTCTATTTCCTTCCTAATTCCTATCCCCAACTTTATGTATACCTTTTTTTTCTTTCTTATCCAGTTGGGAGGTTAAGCTGTATATATTGATTAATTGATTTTAGGGAAGGGGCTGTTTTTTAATCTGGCCTAGTTTAGAGGTTTTTCTTTCAGAGATGGGCGTTTGTTGATCAAAGCAACAAACAACAAATGTTTTAATTTATGCTTCCTTTAGTTCTGCAAATTTGAGGGG